TAGAGACTTTTTTTTCTGGCATTGAGACGAATATTTTGTATGGCTTAGAGAAAGTTTTTTTTTTTTTTTTTTTTTTTTTTTAATGTTCTATTGCTGGTGTTCTATTTTTTTAATGGCAAAACGAAAGCGCTATCTGACCATAGAAGACACACAAATGCTAAATGAGTCAAATTTGCTGATATTCTATTCCCGTGACATTTGCAACATTGGACTTTGCATACACCCATGTTTCAAAAAATATCATACACTGTCTCTTTTTTGAAACATTGCTTCCTTTTCGCTGTTTGCACATTGACTTTTTATGAAAGACAGTTTTAATATTTTTTAATTATATGCTGTGTTAAATAAAATCTGCGATTGCTTGGATGCTTTTCCATATATATAATTGTGGGATAAAGGAAAAATTATTTAATTGTGGGATAATGGAAAAATTATTCTCATAATGTATCAAAAATTGGAACAATTGGATGACAAATTTAATTTATATGAATTTTTTTTCCAATGTTTGACTTAGCAGTGCGAATTGCCCATCCCCACAACACGACGCATCCGGTTAATGCGCCGTCCTAAGACAACGCTTCGGTAACAGGGATGCCTGTCGTGAACAGGTTAAGCATTTAACCCACACGCATGCTGTTCCCCTTACCACTTGTCAGTTCGGAATACCATTGTTCGAAAGGCTAGGACAAATCTTCGAATAAGTGACCTTGTAATATAAGAGACTGCACATGTATCTTTTATGTTTCTTCCTAAAGAATTGGGTGCACATTATATGGAGAATAGAATATAGCTATATATATATAGAAAAATATAGCTCATAATTATAGATGCATACTGGAAAATATGGTATTTATAATTTCAGCCTTAAATTGTGCTTCTCTTTTCCATATTTCTCACCAGAATGCAAATGAGTAGTCAGAAATTAAACTGAAGTTTTTAAATTTTGTGCCTGCTACATTTTAATTTCCTGCCAGCTCTGTCAGTTGCAATTATTCAAATTTGCATTTACTTGTGGCCAACATTTTAGTACTAACACTCCAGTAGAGTAGTGAGCTAGCTTCTAATATAGTGATTAATTGAGTAGTCTTTGACTATTAATCCAACCAGAACATGTGCCAAAATGTCATTTATTACCAAATCAGGAGTTTATGTATTTCTTAGAATGTCATTCAGCTTATGTGGAGCATCTGCCATGTTTCAAATAGCTGTGGTTATTATCCTAAGACCTGTCCTCGAAAATGTACATTTATTTATTTAGACAATATAATAGTTAGGAGACAATTGATGAATATATTTGGAATTTACACAAATTGTTTTCACTTCTAAAAGTTGCCAGTGTAAAGGTGAATGATGCCAAATGTAAATTTGCAGTCATATAACTTTGTTATCTGGGCTTTAAAATATCTTAAAGGGGAATCAAAGCTGAAGATTCTAAAATCATAGTGATAAAAATTTTACAACAAAAAGTTGGCATTATTCTTGGGCTTTTGCTTCATTATAGGACTTTCATCAAAGATTTTGCTCATATAGCAGAATCACTATTAAACTTGAAGAGAAACAAAAACACCAGGTTCACCCAGTCAGCAGAAACAAACACAGCACTTGAAAGACTTAAAGCAGCATTAATTCAAGCTCCCATCTTGAAATTTCCTGAAGCAGACTGCAAATTCAGAATTTTCACAAATGTATCTGATTTTGGGAAAGAAATTATACCACTGTCGAGAGCGAAGCATTAGCAGTCCTTTTGGCAATACTGAAATGTCAAGTGTATTTTGGGAAGATACGAGGTAATGTGCATACCGATCACACTGCTATCACCCGTTTGTGTTCCAGGAAGAATTTATCAACCAGATTCATATGATGGGCTCCTAAAATGCGAGAATCTCTGCATATAATAAAAGAAAGAGTCAGCATGTCTTTCATGCTGCGTGTAATAGACCCAGGAATACAAAATTTAGTATATAGGTGCATCTAGATAAGAGTCAGTGCAGCTTGAAGGTTTTTTTTTTTTTTTTTTTTTTTTTTAATTTGAGTGAGTTTTGTTTGTTTTATCTTTTCGATTTTATCACATCATTTTGAATAGTTCCATTCTTTTAGAAATGTGGTTTTGGCAACAGTTTTTCATTCAATTGTATACTGGACTGCTGAATGTTGAAAATCAGCACTGTTGCGACTTTGAAAAATGAGGGCAATAATTCTGTGCAGTTTTTAAATTTAATGTTTCTCTTAAATACTGGATGTTTGTTAAGAGAAGGCAATGGAAAGTTTGTTAATTTATTGGTTTGGATAATTAATATTTGTATTAAGAAATATTGCTTATTTCATTGTAATTTTGTTGTATGCAATTTTTTTTTTTTTTAATGAAGTTGTTTTGCAGAGTAATATTTTGCGCAGTTTCTAAATTAGTAGATAAGGTAGTTAAGGTAAACAGTAAGATTTCTGAAAGGACAAAATGACCAAAGCTTATGTCAGCTATTATCTAGCACTATTATGAGCATGCTGATATGCCACTAGAACAAGAGGTTTTGGGAAATCGCCAAGTGTGAACAGTGAAGGGCTATCTAGAAATGTAGTGCATATATCTGGACTACAAGGTCCTAAAAGGGAAGGATGCCAGAAATGGTGGAAAAGAGAATTAAAAAAAAAAAAAAACATAATTTTGACGAGTCTGGAAAAAGAAAAGCTATGAATAATGGCGGGCTGACATTTTAATTCTGATGCTCTGGTAGAGTAGTGTGCCAGCCTCTAGTACAATAGTTATTAATTGTTTAGTCTTTAACTACTGGCACACATTTAACTAAAATTTTGGTTTATTTGCATCAGTATGAATTGTGGTTAATTTGTAGCACAGTAGAGTGTGTTTGTGTCCTAATTTCTGTTTAAATAAAAAAGGTTTTTCTTTAATCTTCTTACAACTTTGTTCTTTCAGACATAGTAGTAACTCACTTGATGCCTGTTAGGGTATTTTCTCCCTCCTTCCAGCATGTGTTTGTGGTATTACAGTTAGTACATCCGCGTATTTGAGAGGTCCAGTTTTGAGTCCTGGCGAAGGCATTGCTCATTTTGCACATCTCTTACATCAAAAATACTCTAATGTTTCTACAGTGGCGCCCGAACTAAAAAGGTGATTAATGTTGATTCTTTACCAGCAGGATTTGGTGGCTAGGTCCTCTAATTCCCAGTCACCCTTTAAAAGGGGGAGTATATAAAGTATTTTCTACCTCCCTCCAGCATGCCTTTGTCGTGTAATGGTTAGCACACTCGGTGTGTATTCGAGAGGTCCAGGTTCGAACCTCAGCGAGGGCATTGCTCATTTTGCACATCTCCTGCCTCAAAGTAACCTAATAACTCTACAGGTTTATTGGACTAATTAATTAGCATTACCAAATCAAGTATAACCCTACAAAGTTTTGGTATTTATCAACATTTCGTCTATTTTAGTTTAATTTAGAAAATGCATTAAAAATAATCTAAATGTATACAAGTGTATTATATGCATTTTTTGGATTTTGGAAAAGAGGAGGTATAATCTTAGGTAATAGTGAAAAGGGTGTACAGAGCAAAATGGGTTGAGAGCCACTGTGCTACGGAACTTCTTTCAACTGAAGAAAATTTTGCCATAACTGTATTTTTGTCCACACAGTCATGCCACGTGGACTTTGGGGATCCGCAAAATAAAAAGGATAGAGGCACTGTAAGATAGCAGTTGGTCTCATATCTCGCAGAATATATGTTGCAAAATGCTACCAGTAATGATAAATATAATGAAATTTTATCAACAGTAGTTCTGCTATGACTGCCACAAATTTCAATGTAACACAATATTTTTTTTATTGAGTAAATTTCATCAAATCTCATTATAATTAAAATTTTTATCTCTATTTTTGTTTTGAATTTATCATATCGGAAAATATTGCCAATGTTCGTGTTGGCAACAACTCAGAAAAGCAGTCACCAATTTGTGATCCATATAACTGATAAGAAGCGAGTTTTACAATAAAAATTAAATTTATTGCACATATATATACTAAAAAATTCATTGTAATTGAACAAGATACTAAAGTTCGTTATCAGTTTTAATGCCTAATTTTTATGGTATATATATCTGTTCTACTCAATGAGAGCATTTGTGCTCTTTAAAGTACTTCTGCTCCCCTAATTTCTGCCATGTATGTGTATTTAAATTGTGTAATCTTATCAATTTTCCTTCTTTATCCTTCTTTTGATTTGTGTGTGTGTATATGTATAATTAATAAATACAAAGTAAAATACTGTTCAAAGGTTTGATTTAAATTTATTATGTATATATATGTTGTAGTGAGTGTTAATAAAGTAATTTATATTTGGCTTCAGAGATGATGTAACAGAATTGTGATTACTATAGTGGTAAAAATTATTGTGGGAAAATTTTAAGATTTTCTTATTTTAGTATTTATAAACTGTATCTGTACTAAATCAAATATTAAATCTTTTCCATTATAAGATAATATTCCATTTTACAGATAATTTCTGTAAAAAATTATGTGGAATATTTGCACCAACAATACATTGTGGTATTAGGTGTACTTCGTTAAAATTTTACTTATTGAAATTTTAACGAATATGGAATTCATATATGAAATGAATTCATATGGAGAAACCGGAATAAAGATAAAAACCATATGAACAAATCTTAATCAACATTGTTGCCTGTTGTCCACATAAATTAAATATCATATGCAATATGCTTATCTCTTCTAACATTCTTGTCTGCTACAAACTGTTATAAATAAATAGTTCTTAAAATGTGTTATTCTGTTTTAGTTTCTTTGTTTATTGAAATAATTAACCTAATGTTTAAAGAAATTTTACCCCTAATGATGCTTAGTAATTGAAAAGATTTAATAATCTTTTGAGAATGAATCTGATTTGTAAAGTAAATCTTGTGATGTTTGTTCTTCATATGCATCATCGTTTAATTCAATAGTTAGCTTGTCAAGTAATCATTTTTCATCTTTTAGGTTGAAAAGCATCCTAATTATCAGATTCTTGATGGACATTTACTTAGCCCTTTTGTGAATCATTTACCTGAAGTTGTTCCAGAAGAGTCAAAAATAGCCAGGTGTGTTTTAAGTTTGGTAATTTTAGTATGTAATTTGAAAATATGTTTCTTTACTTGCTTATGTCAAATTTCTGTTTGTTATTTTGTTAAGCCGTCAAAGTAACTGCCCTTTCCATTTGATAAAAATAAAGTACAGTTAGGTCTCACATAATGAATATAGTTGGTCTCACTTTATCATTCATCATGTGGAATGCTGGGTCACATAGCAATAAGTTGGCAAGAGACACCACTGAAAATTATGACATAGAATGTCCTTTCATTCCTTGGCCCACCAGCGGCCGAGCAGTAAAGTCGCTGAACACTGGTAGTTCGGTCCGAGGTTCGAATCCCGCGAACGGACTGGCTGCATGGGCGTTTTCGTGGTTTTCCCTATGTGTAACGTGTATACGAGCCAGTTTCCCTTAGAAAGTTCTCCATGAAGGCATCCCTCCTCTTAGGCAGATAGCCCTCGAGGCTTTGCCATAATCACACACACACTTTCATTCCTTGACCTAAGTCACATTTTGAAAAAAAATCTTTGTTAGCAGTCTCATTTTTAAAAAAATGACAAGAAGAGTGAAATATTTGTGAAATGTGGGCAGACATATCTTTAATTATCTCCCAACAATTAATCTAAATGACAAAATTTTGATTCTACAGTTATCAATATCTATAATAAGACTTAGCATAATGTTGTTTAACAACATTATGCTAAGTCTTATTATTACATTACTATGTGTTTATGCACACATTGCTATGTGTTTATACACACATAGCAACATTATGCTATGTGTTTATTATGCTATATGTTGTTTTCACAACATTATGCTATAAGACAGATTTACCATCATTGTATCTGGGAGGACAAAGGATCTCGAGATAATTATATAATAGAATGTCCCTTAATGAATCAATAATATGCTAAATTTCCAGCAGCTAATGCCATTTCTTTGAAAAACTTCCTTATTAAGCAAAGCCATCTTATTCTTAAAATTTGTAAAATTATAAATCTATTTCAGCATTGGGAAAAGATATTTGCCGACATATTTAAAAACATGAATATAACAGTAATGTACTTGCTTCTTCTTCTAAAATTTCATATTTTATTTGCAAGCCCACACATAGTAAATTTCTTTAATGAACATAAGGTATTAAGGCTTATTTAAAACATTATGGCTTTTTTCCATGGTGTTCAATTTTATGAATGTGTGATCAAACTATATAGACTCCATGAACTATGGGCTTTATTTTTAATGCAATTGCATTTTATTTTATTATTTTATATTTTCTTTCATCTATATATGTTTAAAAATTAATATATTAAAATTAGGTATTGTAATATGAAAAATATTTGGTTATTATTATTTAAAATGATAAATAAGATATCTAGTTAATAATGGATGTAGTACCTGTTAACCATTAGTAAAGATCAGATATCCTTATTCATCATCAACTGAACTGAACTGCATTATGCAGATAATTTTAATCCTTTTCTGAACCTGATCCAGAATTACTAAACATAAAAAAATTTCATTGAAAACACCACTAATGCTGGAAATTTGTTAATCATTTATTAATTATAAGAAATACCTACATATGCTATACATGTACAAAGTCTCACTTTTTTTTTTTTTTTTTTTTTAAGTTCTAATTAATTTGAGTTATCCACTTGAGTCATTTTCTTATTTCAATATTTTATCATATTATTATAAATTTTGAAAATGTTATGTGCCTTTTAAAGAGACACAATAACACACAGGATTTTCCTATCTACTTGACCTATAACCTAATAAAAAAAATCATTTTTTTGCGTTGTGTATTAACCGGATTAACCCTGAAATAAAACTAAGTTGTGGACTAGTGAAAGACATGAGCACAAATAAATATACCATTGACTGATCCAGTAGAGTATGATTATTTATTTAACCAGTTATGATTAAATTTTAACCAGTTAGGGAGAAATAATTGAATAAAATAAAAGGTATACTTTAACAAAAATAAACTCACAATTTTCCTTCTAAACATTCTGCAATATCAAACATTATATTGAATTCATACTAGTAAGCATAATCATTTACATTGTATGATAGAATAACATACCCTCCCTGGGGAGAAAAAAAAAGGAAAATAATATTTAACAATTTACACTTTGCAAGAGCATTCCACACAGAGTAAGCATTTATGAACTTAGTTACATAAACAAAATGATACTAATTTCTTATTGCACATTTTAAATTTTTGAGTTTTGAGATGAGAGAATAAACCGGAATGATACTAATTTCATATTGCACATTTTAATTTTTGAGTTTTGAGATGAGAGAATAAACCGGGTAAAATATTTAAAAATAAAATCAGGCTTTACATCTTAACAGACAACTTATTCCAACAGCGTAGTAATGAAACCCAATTAATTGCACCTGATATAAAAATCTTAACAATAAAAAATACTGCTTTAATTAAATTATTTAGATAATAATATATTTCCCTAGCCATTCTAATCAAGTTATCTATAACATTCCACACAGAGCATTCCACACAAAATAAGAATTTATGAATTTAATTACATAAACAAAAATGATACAAATTTCTTATTGCACATTTTTAATTTTTGAGTTTTGCGATGACAGAATAAACCGGGTAAAATAGTTTAAAAATATAATCAGGCTTTACATCTTAAAAGACAACTTATTCCAACAGTGTAGAAACGAAACCCAATTAATTGCACCTGATACAAAAATCTTAACGATAAAAAAAATTACTGCTTTAATTAAATTATTTAACTAATAATACATTTCCCTAGCCATTCTAATCAATTTATCTATAACAAGAAAAAAAAATTTCTCAAGTACAGAAGAAATAGTGTATAATAAAATAAATCAACCATTAACTATTGAGAAAAAAAAATGTAAAATCACTTAGCTGTAGCTTCTAGGATGCCTGGTTGGTGAGGTGGTCAAAGAAGAATTTCTTAATTTAACAGGTCACAACTTAAAATCCAGATGGATTGTAGAAAAGTTCTATGGAAACTAATTTCTTGAAGGATAAGCATAAAAAAACTTCAAACTCAGATGGCTTGTAGAAAAGTTCTATGGAAACTAATTTCTTGGAGTATAAGAAAAAAAAAAAAAAAAAAAAAAAAAAACTTCAAACTCAGATGGCTTGTAGAAAAGTTCCATGAAAACTATAATCATTGAATTTCTTGAAAGTTGAAGCGTCACCAGCATTGACCTCTGTTGAAGAAATTTTTGTTGGATGAATACTTGACTAAGGACTAGAACTGGAGCAGGTTATCAACAATTTTCCTCAATAGGTAGCATCCTTGAAGATGGCTCTGCAACAGGTCATCAATTTTGACGAGATTTTTGGTTTTTGTCTGAAGATCACTGAGTGTTGGACATAAGCCATTGTTAAACTATTTATGTGTATATTATGTATATACATGGGGGTATTCACAGCAGATAGAACATTTGGAACTTACTGATAGTAAACGCCGAGGGGGAAAAAATTATGCAGATGAAAATGGGGCTGATGAAATTAATCCGTAGTATTCTTCTTTCGAGGGCAAGAGCCCCGTAGATTACGCGGAAGAGACTCCGCCATTTCTTCCTTTTAGCCGGCTCGCAGAGCACGCACCTCAGCTTAATTCGTGGCTCAAAAGTGTGATAAGTGAAAAAAAAAGTCAAAAAGTCACCTCGTCCCACAAAACAACCCGTTAAAAGGGAAAGCGCCGGACTGCCAACTTGGCACAACTCACTCCTCGCCAATAGTTAAACCAGTTGCAACCACAGCATTCCTTCATGTTAGCAAACTCGCCAAAGCCACCATTTTTAAACCCCAACGGAAATTCTAAGTCGCCAAGCTGCCGCCAAATAACCCCGCCTAGTGAAGGGAGAAAACTTGGAATTTCAACAACCCTGTAAGCAGTCTCAACGAGGGAACGCTGAAACTCGAAAAAATGACTATTTTACCAGAAAAGGGCACTTCTTCCCCCCCAAAGGAGAAATCACAATGAAAATGGGAAAAAATCTATTAATTAAAGCTCATAACTAAAATGCAATTAAAGTTAGGAAAATGAAAGTTATGTCAAATTAAAGAGCTAATTTTTCTGCAAATAATGATATTAAATACTAAGAAATCAAATTAATTTTTAACCTGAAAAACTGAGTTTATTACATGAAAAATTCACCTATATCCATTGTCTGAGTGTACCAGTTTGAAGACGCAGTTCGCGTAAACTCGAATAGCCGAAATAGATTACACTAGAATTAATAAGCCAAATAAAAGACTATAACCAACTTGTTGTGTAGCTCAAATTTTGAATAATTACAAATTAAAATTTTGATTTTTATGAATCACTTAATAATATTAAATTCGCTACACAACATATATATGTAAGTAATTTTAGTGAAATTGTAGTATGTGTATGATGTAACATGCAATGCTTGAAAAAGAAAACCTCTACCAGAAACATAAGGTTACAGGTCTATTACAAGTCTATTTAACATTGAGGTTAATGGCGTATCCCACTAAATTGACGATGGCTTTGGTGACTAATTTTTGTAGCCAAAATTTGGCAATCATTTTTATCCAATCGACATTTTTATCCAATCCCTGTATAAATGTAATTGGTAATTTAATTGAATGACTGCAATTGATATCATTATGTAACTGTAAACTTATCCAGCCCTTATATGTAACTTTAACCATATATACCTTCAAGTAATTTCAAGAAGTGGAAGGTACTAGAGATTTCTCAGCAGCTGGGGCAAAACCATACAAGCCCGGAATGATCGGCAGATTCTCAGATTTTAGTTCAGAGCTAACTTCAGAATACAGAGAAATCTCTGTGCCTGCTCTGCTCTTTACATGCACTATTCATTGTTCTGTTGAATGTTCTTAGTAGTTTAAAGTGATAACTACTGTCGGTCTTTGAAGGGAACAGCTTCCACCATAGTGTCTGGCAGATGGTGGTCATTATAGCAACAAGGCTAGTATGTTTCAGGTACGGATGAACGAGTGAATGCTTTATAGTTATTTGTTTTTGGCGACTGTTGGCTGAGGGGGAAAAGAGTTTACTCTTCCTCTTCTCAGTTTCGTGTGTCTTTTCTCTTCAGCCTTATATTACTTTTAACTATTTTTGGTCTTGTTGTTAATTCTTCTGTACTGATATATGTTAACTTTTTTTTTTTTCTCTTTATTTAAGAAAATTCCAATTTAAGAAAGGTTAACCTTTAAAATCTGAGGACTTCAAATGATGTACAATGTTGCAGAATGTTGCACTTCTTAAGCTTTGACGAACTTTTTAGTAGTTCCTTTCCCTCAAGTTTTGAAGATAACATTTTAAGCTACCATTGTTATTGTGGTATACAATTAAAAACATGAGGTGAAAATAAACTTCAAGGTACACCTGGAAAGAACTTAAAATACCTACTGATCAAAACTATGAAACTGATAATGTTGATAAATGTACAAGAGTATGGAGAATATGGATAAAGCAGACAAATTTTTATATTAAAGAAAAGAAAGTGCCAACTGTACAGAAATTACTGTTTGGAATAAATAAGAAATAGGAAAGAAAATAGACTTTTCATGGCAAAAATACTGTGTAAAGTTTTGCATTCAATGAATTTTTGCTGGAAAAAATGCATAAACAACAACAAAACAATAATAATAGTAATAATAATTTTTATCGAAAGACCTGATATTGTTTTTGGAGGAATAATTATTTGTAAGAAATGAGGAAACTTGGGGAATGTGAATAACACATTGTTTACTTTGACAAAACATGGATCGATAGTAATTTAACATTTGGATTGATAGTAATTTAACATTTAAGCAATGTTAGCAGCATTACACAGTTTTGGGTGCACAAATGAATGTTAATTTAAAAAATAGACTGCTGTTGTCCATGCTGGCTCTTCCACAGGATTTGTTTCAGGTTCTCAACTTGTGTTCAAAGCATCAGCTCAAAGCCAATATTACCATGGTCAAATGAACTGCAAAAATTTTTAAAAATGCACGTAAGAAAAGATTCTTCCAATTTACAACCCCAGAATGTGGTATGCGTGGTAAGTTGGCTAATGAAGGAAATGATATGCTGTGATCCCAAAATGCAAACAGTAGAACTGTTCAACTTCATAAAATGCAATCCTCTTAAAAAAAAAACTAATCTATAAAATTGACAACGTTATAAAAGAAAATGAGCATCATGTTTTGCATTTCCCTCCTTAACACTGATCTAAATGCAATAGACTATGTTTAGTCATCAGTTAAAAGACTGATCATGAAAAAGAATTACTGGTGGCTTAAGATTAGAACATTTGAAAAGTTTAATGCAGGAAGCTTTGGATGAAGTCTCTTCTCAAGAATGGATGGTGCAATGCAACTACATAGAAAAAACGTGAAACTTCTTATTGGGACAAAGATGAATTTCTAGAAGAGTTAGTTGATGACTTCATAATTCAAACTGACAGCTGTGATTCTGATTCTAATTCAAAAGAAACAGAATTTTGTGGCAGTGATTTCAACAAATTTTCAGATATTGCACCTCTATAAATAAATAATAAAATAATTCAACATTTAAGGTGTTCACCTTAAATGTTGAATTATTTTTGGATAAGTGGATAAGATAAGTAAACCAAGTAAGTTTGAATGCCAGTAGTTCAGTTTGGCTCCAGTTCCAGTGAATGGGATGGCTGCATGGGCATTTTTGTTGTTTATTGTGATGTAATGTGGATACGAGCCATGTTCCCATAGAAAGTCCTCCATGAAGGTATTCCTCTTCTTCAACTGATAGCCCTCTCATGTTCTGCCATAATCAGATAAACCAAACCAAATTACTCAGGTATTAGAAAAAAAAAATGGAGAGAAGAAATATTCAAATTGTGGTTGCTGAGAGCTTCATGAATGATATTTCTAGATTCAGTGTTTTCTTTGCCACAATATAAATGAAAGACTACCAAAAGTGGGTAACAATGAGCCTTTGGCTGAGGTTCCCCCCCCCTCCTTTGTGGATAATAAGGTGCACTGTAAGGTTGTTTTATTTCCCAATGTTGTGTTCTTGAGCACTCACAAACCTTTGGCATACTTTGCATAAAAATAAATTCTTAATCTTTGATGAAAACTAAGTAAGTTTAATTTTTATTATAAAAAATATTAATACAAAATTATGTTAATGCAGCAAAGCTCACTATAGTTATAAAATCCAATATATAATCCAAAATATACTTATATAAATAATTATATAAATTTTGTATAATTTTAAATATAAAATAGGTAACTGAATAATTAAAAAGACCTTAACTTTGTTCTGATTTTAATATTTTATTATGTTACTTGCTATTACAGTGTCTTTAAAAAGCAGCAGCAGCATAATAGGTGAATGGGAATCAAGCTTGGTAATTTAGATAAAAAACAGTTTTGATTTTAGCCCAACTTCTCTGCTCCCTATCCCCATTAAAATATAAAGCTTTTGATTTAGTATTTATTGAGAGTGTAGTATGTAAACAAGCACTTTTACTTTCAGATGAATCCATATCCACTAATGATTACATTTTTAGTCATTATTAAAGCACAAGCAATACATTAAGAGAAAGTTATGAAATAAAAAAACGTTACAGAACCTCGTTCAAAGACTAAAGAAATCGCTTTGAATATTCACAGTGGCCTTGCTAGAAGGGAGTGGTCTGCTCAGACAGTGCATTTTTTGGTGCAGAATTTTTTTGCGTGAAACATTATTTTATAGGGGTTAGTCGTGGATCCTTGAAGCATATAAAAAATAATGTGATTCTGAGTTGTATACCAAATTAAATTGAGGAAAAAAAATATGTACTCAAAGTATTCAAATTCCCTACAAGATTTCAGAAGTTACATACAATTGTTATATCTTTTTTATTCCATTAAATCCTGGTGACATTAGTAAGGAAGAATATATCATTGAATGAGAAGTATTTCAAAGATTTATTTCTGTTATTGCTAAGGGAAATGAAGCAGGAATGTGGAAAGGTGGTCCTAGTGAATTTTTACCTGTTTATTCTAAAGTCTGATCTCTAGAACAAAATTTCAAATATTGTAATGCTATTCTGAGCTTTCCTGATAACTGCTGTAATTGTTGCTTATTGTGAGAAGAGCTGTCTGAATAAAAATCTTTTAGAAAGTATTTTGGAATTATAAAGGTTAATTTTGCATTTAGGAAGTATTTAAGAACTATAAAAATTTATTTTGCATTTAGGAAGTGTGTCCTTAGTATACTACAGCAAATGGGACAATCAAATAGATCTCTAACATGTCATCGATGGTTTTGTAAAATTAAAAAATAAATAAATAAAAAAAGGCAAAATAATAATATGATTTTAAAATGTTGGAATTATAAAATTTTCCTTCAAAAATAAGCATAGAGTTAAAATTTATTTCCCCGTAAGTTATTTTGATATATATTAACTCATTTGTACATCAAGAAAGATGGCAAGTTCAGTGACTGCCTCAGGTGACAAAATCAAGAACCTAGCTACGTCCCTGAATATTCATTTTTGGAAATTGGATGCTGGGGTTGACAGCAAAGGGTCAATGAGCATTTTACTTGGAACTAAAATAAAAAATGAATATCGCCAATTCATCCTTTAAATGCGCCAAGATGGCAAAATTAAAAGTAATTCTTCAAGACACCCCTAAGAAAAATGAGGCTCATTTCTAAGGTAAGGCAGCTTCAAACTAGCTGGCAAGAGCAACAGCACTGATTACAATACTGACAGTACTGAATATGCTCTGTCATATTGACAAGACCTGTATGAGTACTTTTATTGAAAGCTCTAGAACTGTGAAGTATTTCTTTTATGAAAATTAATTTGTCAAGCTATCATCAGTTCTCTGTGCACTTAATCCATTTTGAACATGTACGCATGTAACAATATTATTTGTAATGCGTTTTGTAAAATAATTGTAATTAAATGGAGGCAAAATCATTCTAAAATTATTTCCCATAATTCAAAGATGGCCATGATTTTTTGTACATAATAGTAGTTCAGATAGTGCACTACTGCAGTACAAATTGGAGCATGTGATGATTTCATGCTAAATATATAAACAGTTTAAACTAGGTTAGCACTTATTTTACGTAGTGACTATTTCTTCTTAGCATGAAAAATCGCTCAAATGCGTTTATTATGTGAAATTAATTTATGGTATTTTTAATTTTTTCTTTCAGGTTTCAAGTGCTTCTTCCAAATGTCTGGTCTTTTGAACCAATGCGCCCAATTTGTTTGCATCTTGCTGGTACCGGTGATCATGTAAGATTATTTGTAATTGGAATTTAATACATGAATGTTTATATCTATAATCAGGCTTAAATCTGAAACCAAGTTTAAATATATTTCCTAGCATTATTAATATAACTTCATGAAAACTGAGATGATGAGATTATGTGATGTGTCCATGTTCATGGGGAAAGTTAAATGAAAAACACAGAGCATTTAAAAGTGCATATGAGTAGGCATTACAGTGTTCTACATTACAACAAAGTCAGTTTTTGAGACCATTAAATTTTCTGGAATCGTAAAACATGAGAAATCAACTATACCCTCACTGAGATTCAAACCACAGATCTTCCAGTGCTACGTAAACATGATAATTACATATCACATGGAATTTGGGCCACCCAAAATAAATCAGAATGCCCTCATTATTCATGCGAGAATGTAATAATGCCTTAGATTCTCCCTTATGTAGAAGACTAGCAGGTTGCATAGTTAGATGCCTAGAGTAGTTATCATAAAATGTGTGTGTGTATATATATAATGATTTTTAATAAGTCCGTTTAATGCATTTCATAAATATACTATTTAATATTTCTAATTAGACACCTTGTGATATAACTGAATGCTTATTTATTTAAATCAATCAGATTAAAAAGCAGAAGACACATTCTTAATAACTGCATTTACTGCTTTTAAATTGCTTAGTTTGTTACTCAGTAATAGGCAGATTAACTATGAAAGTTAAATATATTATGCTTCACTGAATGGCAATATGTTGGCATGTGAAAGATAGAAATATGGCATTTCAGATAGTGAGAACACAGTGCTTTTAAATAGCCAAATTCGTTGATTAAAAATAATATCTTACATTTTGCCAAAAGGCAACAGTCTGGTACACTAGAGGTAAAAATGTTTTGTTTCGAATAATGTAGCCATTCCTCACTTTAAATTGCTAAATCTGTTAATAAAAAATTCATTAAATTGCACAAAATATGAAGTAAATCAAAAACAAATTTAAAATTAAAAATTTGGTCTTTAAAGTGCATGTGTTCATATGGAGAAATATGGGTATTCAAAATTCGGTGGTTTTAATTGCTGTAGCTTTTATGCAGTGTGAGTAATGGCTTACACCGTAAAAGTATACATGGAAGGAATAGTGTAATTCCTTATACAGATAAAGGTATTAACCCTTCAAGCAGCCAAGGGCTTGGCCCTGCCCAAACCTTAAACTTCCCCAGAAGGCCATAAATAAATGTTATTTTCTTGATTATAATTTCAAAATAACCTTCTTACACTATACTTTGACTCTTTTTTCCAGCTTAATTGTCTAAACATATTTCGAAATGCGTGTCTGTGTATTACGATAAATATTTTTGAATTTGTGTACATCAAAGAGCCATTACATTATGACCACTTTGTTAATAACATGTAGGACCACCTTTAGCCTCAAAACTGTCAGCACCTGGCGTGGCATTGACTCCACAAGGTGCTGATACGTAGTCTGAGGTATCTTGTACCAAGCACTCACCCACTGGTTCTGCAATTACCACACATTGAAACAGGGCACGAATTTGATTTGGCAGCACGAATTTGATTTTCCAGATAGGACCACAAATGCTCTATTGGATTAATGTCAGGTGAATTTGGAGGCCAAGACATGACTTGAAAGTCACTAGAATGTTCCTTGAACCACTCCCTGACGATTCGACTCTTATGACATGGTGCATTATTCTGTTGGTAGACACCATCCCCTGCTGGAAATACTATTGTCATGATTGGTTGAACCTGGTCTGAAATGATGTTCATGTAGCACACAGATGTCAGGGATTGTTCTATGGGGATTATGGGTCCTAATGTACTCCATTAAGACATTGCCCCCACCTTAATACCCCTACCACCGGCTTATCTCCACCCAACTGTGCATTCGGAAGCCAGGGTTTTGTTTGGAAATCGGCATATTAGCACATGCCCTTTGATGTGATGGACAAGAAAATGTGATTTGTCGGACCATGCAACTTTCTTCCATTCTTCTTATGCCCAATTTCAATGTTTCTTGGTCCATTGCAGATGCAGCTGGTGATGACGTGCTTTCAGTGCAGGGACATGCTTCGGGCTCCGGTTGCAATGGCCCATACGCAGAGATGTACCCTGCACAATGTGTTGAGAAAAACTGTCTGGGTTGCCACTGTTGTAAGCTCTTCGGTCACTTTGAACAATGCGTAGCAATCTCCGCTATCCTCAGGAATCAATGCGCCGTCGACGAAACAATGTACGAAATCTGAGATCCAGAAACATCAAGACTGCGAATCCGGATTTCAGAAATTTCCATATTTTTAGATCATCAATTTAAATCTAGTCAAATGACGTGTAGACATGGCAACATTTGGGCTTTATATTTGGGTTAGATAGCAATGCTATTACTCTCCCACATCATGAGGGCGGATATGTGATTGGTGCTAACTTAAAGTATGTTTCTTATAGCTGTCAGCGAACTACCGCACAGGTCTTTTAAAGTGGCATACAGGAATTTCATTAAGCTGGGGAAAAAGTCAACATCCCCCCAACCTGCTTCCCGTGAATATTATATTCTCCGTTCCTCAACATTGTAGAGGTGGGAGAATTTTTTTTATTATTAGTCAATTAATTATTTTTAGGCTAGTGGTCCAAAGGTCTGGACTCTGTATGGCAATTTTTATAAATGTTTATACTGGCTCGGTGCCAGCATTTTTAGGGCCGAAGGGAGTCAGTACATTTAGTACATATGAATAGTTAAATGTGAAATATACTTTTATTTAATAGTCACTTGTTAGAACCATTAACTGCTGTCCAAAAAGGTCAATGCTTCGGGTAGCCTCCTATGTTACCTATGCTTGAAGCATCCGCATTTACAGATAAGATTATAAAACATTTAAAAATTATTATACAGGATTTATTTTTATTATTATTATTTTCAGTTTTACTGGCGGAGAAGAATATTAATGGCTCGACCACTCCTAAAAGAAGCTGGAATTGCTTCGATTCTGCTGGAAAATCCATTCTATATCCTTTGTGCTGAGTTCAGAATATCATTTATTTCCTGCAACTTTAAAAATATACTTTCCAGTTGATCTAAGTTTAATATTTTCTTGAACTCTCTTCCTTTAAATCTGTGATTTTCTCTTCTGTTAACTTAGCTGTTTGGTGTTTAATGTCTATTATTATATTAACAGAGAAAATATGCAGAACATAGCAATTATAAGAATATCTATTTTGCATGCAATTAAAGTTTGACCGTTGTATGTCTTAGAGTTGCATGTCCCAGTTATAAATAGAGTATATTAGACAAGGTTTTCATTTACGAAAATCCTGGAAGGGCAAGACATTTCTGAAAAGATCTGGAAAAAACTTTTGTTTTACTTTTTCGAAGAAAATATAAGAGGAGTTGAAAATGAAAAAAGTTCTTTGAAATGGCCCAAGTTTTTAAATGGTCCTCACAAGACGACTAACACAAATGTCCCGTTTGGAGCTTCACTAGATTTTTGTGATCTTCACTTTCTTGTCAAAAGTATTTGTAATTAATGCTAATGTTACCTTTCTACTTTTTATCCTGATTTTTTTTTACCTAAACTAACCCATAATGTACTATGTTTTATTACTCTTTTCTTTAGAGTGCGCTAGGAGTCATTGCTTATGTGATTTTGCATTATAATGAATAATTACATCAACAGTATATATTTTTCAACCAGTGTATTTTAAAAGCTTCCGGTTTATTTTAAAACAGAAGAAATATTTATTATGAATGACATATTGTTATAAATTCCTTCTGCAGACTGAAAGCGTGGTTTTTTTTTTTTTTTTTTTTTTTTTTTTAATACAATTTAGTAATTTTTTAGTAATGTAAAAATCCTACCTAATTTTCTGCATGGCTTAGATGCATATTTCTTATACTCTTTCCCTGTTCGGTCAAGGGGAATTAAACTTTACTGTCATTAATTATTGACATTATAGTTCACAGTAATATAATAAAAAATTTTACTCAAACATGATTTGATAATTAATTCCTTATGTTTGATCAAGAAAACTGTTTAGCAGGGAACAGACCCCCTAAAATATAATATTTTTTCTTCTTTTGTGCTATATGTAACTGAAAATATCTATTTGGGCTATGGGATCCATGTCTGTAGACCTAATGAAAATTTTTTATAGCTTCATTATATTTTGTATTTGAAAAGATAAATTGAAAAGGTAAATAACCGTTTATAGGAATTAATGTATTAGTAAAAGGGTATAGTATTTAATTTATTATAAAAGGAAGCTGAAGATTTTATTTTCTTTAATTGTTCATAAATGGTCCAAGAAAGCCCAAGAGTCAGAGGTAAGCATATTTAATTATTGTTTTAAATACACTATTTTTTTAGATAGAGTCAAGATTTTTTAGATAGAGTTAATTAATCTAATACAATCCTAATCAAACGCTTCGAGACTGAAAAAACGCAATTTGAATTTTGTCAATCAGCCCAGTAGAACAAGAGATATAGAACTGCCCCCCCTTTTTTTTGTGCAGTGTACATTTGAATTCATTGAGCTTATTTAAAAATTTGTATTGGCAATCTTAATAATTGCAGTAGTCACGGGTGGATCCACACGTTATATCTGTATAATATACAGTTCTTTATGTTCTCTGTTATAATATAAGGTTAAATAGTTAAATAGCTTATATTGATCTGTTATAATATGAAATTATGATGTGGTATTTATCATAATGATCCCGCCCAATCAAGATAATGGTTAGTGATGCTGACTCCGACCGCAGTGCCGCTCAATCGGAGAGAAGGAATGGATGTTGTAAATGTATAGTGTCCTTGTGGCAAGTAGGGTAATCTCATTCGGTTAGCCCCATCCTCTCGAGAGGCAGGTGGTAGGGAAGGGGGCCAGACCGACAGGTGCTCTCGCAACAGGCAGAACGACAAAGTGGTACTATTACTAAGATCCTAAGCTCTCCAACACAGGACGTTGAGACTGCCAGATAAACGTGGACCGACAAAGTCTGTCACCAATTTATTATCCCGGAATGCCGGAATGACATAAGGAATCCGACCTAGCACAACATTTTTTTGTATGCTTTACATACATGCCAAATCGTTTACCCATGCGTCAACGTAGGAGTGTCTCTAGATCGTTTTTTTTTTAACAAATCTCTAATTAGGCCAGCTAACCATATTTCATGGGTCATGAAATAAAGCCACTAATTGAAGGTTCGGACAATCGCAACTAATGTGAAATTTTTAAGTTTTATTGGCTTGTTGTAAAGAAATGTGACAGCCGGTAATAATGAAGATAATAACAGAGTTTTTGTCTTTGTGACGACAATGCCCTCAGTAATCAGTCAATTAACGGATGGCAAAATCTGTAGTATGGTTCTAGATCCAGAAAATACTGCTTCCGATAGTGAAGAAAATGACAAAGAGGTTATTGAAAATGAAAAAATTTCAATTGACAAGTTAGTCGGTATTCTTGACACAGCAAGTACAGGACTTGAACAGTGGAACTTTGTAACTGAACAAGAAATTATATCTGTTTATAGAATTAAAGAGAAAGTATTAGCACAAAAAAACAAAGCAACTTACATTGAAAGAAATGTTTAATAAAATAAATAAATATTATTAAGTTTTTTTTAATACCCTTTAGATCATAATTGCTATTTATTTCGTAAATTACGGTTTCATATTTTTAATTGTATAATTTCTGCATGCCATCTTATCAGATTTAAATTGATGATCCATAATTCGTAAAAACCTTTACGGACTTTGTACTGTATTATTCTGATGTTACTCTCAGACTAGTGAAATAAGTCACAACAACAACATGTTATGTTATAATATGCTGTTTCTTGTTTGTTGTTATTTGTTCTGAATATGCTATTGCTTATCCAAATAGGTAGACTCATCAGAGCTGTACTAGCTGTACCTTAGAAAGGATCATGTATTACCAAATCTCTACCAGCTAACTCTCTTAATTCCTATTTTGACAAAGTAGAGCCAATTCTAATTTGTGGGATGTTTGAATAATTTGGATCTTAAAAATCTGATAGTGAGACAACAAAATAAAAATATAAAGTTTTCATATATTTCCTTGAATCACATTTCTGTATGTTGCCATTTTCATTCTTTTGCCTTGTTCATCAAAGAAGTCTGAATTTTGCAATTTTCAAGTTATGTTTATGTTGCAATTTTCAAGTTATGTTTATGTTTTGTACATTTGGATATTGTGCTTTGCTTGTCTGATTTCATGCATTTTGCTTACAAACATTTTGTTTTCTATTCATTTCAGTGAGGGATTTTTTCTGCTATTTGTGTGTACTTTATTATTGCTCAGTTAATTTAGTTTGATTTTCTGCATTGTTTATCATGCCTTCATCCGTTAATCGTTTCACTAAATTATGCCTGAAATGGCAAAAATTCCTGAATCATCTTGACTTTTTACTTAAATGTAAATGTAAAAAATTGATCCCCAATTTTATTCAAATCAAATCTAATCAAAAACCTTCGAGTCGCGTTTCAAGAATTCTGTTAAATTGCAAAACTTGCCTTACTTCGGTCCGTGATAAGGGATACACGTCAACAATTGTCCAAAATTGAAACTGAACTCTATAAGCTTCATCTGGAACTCGCTAAAACATATCCAAAAATTCACTGCCCTTGAACAAAGTCTTGGTCTAGAACGGAGAATGCAGTTAACCGTCAAAAAAACACCCTTGCAGTTAAATTCGAAAAAAACTTCTTTTACAGTCTTCCAGTTCAAGTGTTCAAAAAAATCTTCCCCCATTGTAAACATCAAGCCAATAGTTAATATTTCTAATGTTAGTCTTTCAGAAGAACAAGAGAGAATTGCTAAAATATAATTTTAACTTCTCACAAACCTGAAACCCTCGATTCCAAAGATTTTGGCTCCTATCGAAAAAGCTTTCAAGTTCAGTAAAGTTTCAGATTCACAGAAAGAAATGATTAGGCATCTTATCGCTCATAATGTGAAATTCAATAATAAACCTTTGAAACCAAATCTAACTGCGAGAGAAAGAGCTACAATGCGCGAGATTCATTCTAACCCGGATATTGTCATTTCAAAGGCCGACAAAGGTGGCCAGATAGTCGTCATGGATAAGAACACTTACATCGATGGTGTCACTAAACTCTTAAATGAAGGACCATATAATCTGATCCCTAAAGATCCTTCACCTTCGGACTTATCCAAAATAAAAACTGCGATCAAATCTTCGCAAATCATTTCAAGCAACTTAAAACATTCGCTTATCCCATCTGTTGCGAATTGTGTGCCAGATTATATGCTCTTCCCAAATTCATAAAAGTGGTATTCCTTTCCGCCCTATTGTATCAAATTTAGGTACTGCCTCGTATCCATTAGCTAAATATTTAGTTTCTAGATTTTCCACTCTATTAGACAATAACTTTACACCATAAAAATTCAATTGAGTTTGTTAAAAAGGGTTAAAAACATTTCTCCTCGTAATTTACTCATAGTTTTTTTGATGTAAAATCATTATTCACCAATGTCCCAGTGGAGAGGTGCATTAAGATGTCTAGAAACCAGACTTCGCGAATTTCATTTCTCTTTGCATCGAAATTGATGACCTAATTTCTCTCACTCAACTCTGTTTTGAAACAAAACACATTTTGTTTTCCAAAATAAATATTACAAGCAAACTGAGGGATTAGCCATGGGAAGCCCCCTCAGTCCCATCCTGGCTGATATCTACATGCATTATTATGAATCAAAAATTGTTTGAAACTTTAAACTTCCCGGCATGGTTCCGCTACGTAGACGATACTTTTACCCTGTTTGAAGGTAATAAGATGATTTAAATAGAGTTCTTTCAACAATGAATTCTATTGATCCTGCTATTCAGTTCACTTTTGAACTTGAGACTTGCAATTCTCTTCCGTTTCTCGACATTCTGGTCACACGTAACACATCCACTTCAGTCAGTACTACAGTTTACCGTAAACCTTCATCGGTTTTGCCTTCCACCACACTTTAAATCATGTCATCCGACTAAACAAAAGTTAGCTTCATTTTATTCCTATGTTTTCCGTGCTCTTCAAGTTTGCTCCTCCAAACTAGCCCTTGATGAAGAACTAAATTATTTAAAAGCAATAGCTATTGACAGGGCCTTTCACCCAACATTATTAATCAAGCAGTTAAAAAATTCTCATCTCAACACACTAAAAGCCACACTCTTATTTTAGGAGATTATAAAAATTCTGTTGTCATTCCCTTCTTTCCATCAATTAGCTATAAAGTTGCACATATTTTTGCAGAGAAATTTAACTTTCGGGTTGTTTACTCTCCCATCAATAAAATTCCAACTTCTATACTCAAGGACCCCATTCCGGATATGAATTCCTGGGGTATTTATAGGATTCCTTGCCAGTTGCGGTTTAATTTACATTGGCCAAACTAAGAGAGCCTTAAAATTTCGCGTCAAAGAACATGAGGCATATGTTAGAAAAAAGGAAACACAGAAGTCTTCTGTTGCTCAACACATTGTTGGTCCGAAAATCACACTTTCAATTTTTCTGCTGCCAAAATTATTCAAAAACATCTTCCATTGGAGAACTGGATTTTCTAGAGGCATTTCACATTCATAAAAATCTTTCTGTTCTAGTTAATGATCCTAATTCCAATCCCAAATTTGCCTTCGGCTTTTAGAGAAATTATGTTTTAGTTCTGGTTTCGCCAACAGATGGCGCCACTTGCTTATTCTTGTCCAGGCTTTCTTATCTTATCTAAACATTATTTCCTATATTGTTCATTTGCGGTTTTGCAGCTGAAGATGATGGTTCGGTAAAACCATCGAAACTAGTCCTGTGAAAATTTTGTGAATTAACGCTGATTTTTGTTGTTTGACTTCTGAATAAGTCTGAAATGTTATACAGTTAAAAGTCGTTAATTCGGACACCCATAATTCAGAATGATCTATAATCCGGACCTCAAAGTTAAAACTTTCTGCGCATGCGCCGCGTTGGCACATGCGCATAGACGTTTACGTGTGCACGTAAGACCTTTTACGACTGCGCATATGAGTGTGCGCATGCGCAGAATATGTTTTCGCATGTGCGTTTTATGTATAACGGATGATATAAGCTAAAATTATCTAATTATTTATTTCAGTTAATGTTGATGATTGCGTTGTTCCTTAATTTTCGAATTGGATCCGGCTTATTATTTTTTGCAGACTGTAAGAGCAATATTATAAAAGTAAACTTGAACTTTCGATTATGTCAAATAGAATTTCTGATTCTGGAGCTCCCAAAGGGTGGTACAAAACGAAAGTATGTTTCGATGTTCATCAAACAAAAAGTGGAATTGCTGCAAAAAATAGATAAAGACATGAAGAATGTGACAGAGAGGTTAGTGAAAACTGAACAAATTTCGATTGACAAGTTAGTCGGTATTCTCGGCACAGCAATTAACGGGACTTGAACAGCAGAACTTTGTAACTGAACAAGAAATTATGTCTGTTTATAGAATTAAAGAGAAAGTATTATCACATAAAACGAAGCAACTTACATTGAAAGAAATGTTTAATAAAGTAAACAAATAAATATTAAGCTTTTTTTTTTTTTTTTTTTTTTTGTAAATTTTGATACCCTTTAGATCATAATCATTCTTTATTTCATAAATTATGGTTTCATATATTTAATTTTAGAATTTCTGCATGCCATCTTACGAGATTTAAACTGATGATCTATAATCCGGAAAAATCGATAATCTGTAATCGCCGAAGTCCCGACGAGTCCAGATTAACGACTTTTGACTGTATCACTCATTTTATATCACAATATGCATTATCATGCTAAGAGACTTTATTTGAAGAACATAATTGGCACATATATATACAAGAATATATATGTTAAATCAAAATTATAAATTATCATTAGTCCTTAATTCCCCCTCTGTATTCTAAAAATTGAAAAATCATGATCACTTTATTGGACTGCATCATTTCTAGATCAATCTATCTCGCATGGCTTAGTGATGGTGTAAGTCATTGGGAACCTGAACTCAAAATTTTGAGAACTGAAACCTTTCTAATTTAAACCAAAACCTTTTCTTGGTAAGCCTCCATATTGGATAAATGCAGTCAAGCTCTCTTGTAGTCAAGATGTTACATTGCTCCCTTTGCTTTGTCATGTTGCTAACTACGCCATTATCTAAAATCTGGTACTCTGCACAAAATTGTGGGGTGCTTATTGTGCCTATGATCATGTGTCACAAAAATATATTTACGATAATTAGTTTGTGTCCAGCAATAAAAATTATATTCAATTAGGGCATGTCTTACTGCAAGTCTCTCCTTCGAGAGTCATCTTTTTAACAGTGCAGTAAAGTCTCTCCAAGTTATGCACAGAACCATTCTCAATCTGTTGCAGGTTAATCCAAATCATGATATTACACATATGTATTTAACAATTATGCAAGCAGATGCATATGTCAAATTATAATCCACGTAAATGTTTAGACCAAGAGAATTTCTGCAAATTTTTTGTGTTTATGTATTTATTTACTAGCAGCTACTCGGCCAGCTTTCGTCTGGCTTTTAAATGTGCCGGAAAAAAGTGCCTAAAGGGAACACCAAACATTAAATTTAAAAACTGCACAGAATTTTACTCTGCAAAACAACTTCATTAAAAAAGTATTACATATACCAAAGTTAAATGAAATAAGCAATATCCCTTAATACAAATATTAATTATCCTAAAAATAAATTAACCAACTTCTCGCTGCAAAATCATAAGAATTCAGATGATATAAATGAAGTTAAGAACTTTGTTTCCTAAAAAAAAGTCATGCAAAGCTTTTTATATAATTAAAATTATATATAATTAAAACATAAATTTAAAAATATACATAAGCAATAAATCTCATATGCAAACCTCTTTGCCATTAGCTAATAAAGAAAGAGAGGGGGGAATAAGGAAATTCTTTCTGTTGTGCCTCGTGAGACACATGCGAGCCAGAATAAGAAGATTGGAATGTGCGTGTTGCGTGTCCAAAAATCAAAAGAAAAGAAACCAGCATTTTATCTCGTATTTTCAACAATCAGTAGTCTGAATGAAAATCTGTTACCCAAACCACATTTCTAAAAGAATGAAACTATTCAAAATGATGCAATGAAATCAAAAAGATGAAATAAAAAAAATCTGTTTTGAATTTTGAAAAAATCGAGGGGCACTGGTTCTTGTCTAAATGTACCTATATACCAAATTTCACAGCCATGGGTCTATTAGCTTATGCACAACACAAATGAAAGACACACAGACTCTTTCTTGTATTATATGTAGAGATTAAGAAAATCTATATTAAACATTTGGTTATCTGAAAAGTTTGTGGTTTTCTTCTGATTGTTGCATATCTAAGTATTTTGTTAATGCTGATAAAGAATGATCTTGATTAAAGCATATGTTAAATATATTTCTTCTGTGTGTGCTACATAATTCTAACATGTGATTTTTTTTAATGCACTGCTGACAATAGAGAACTCAAAAGTTTGTTTTGTTATTTTATGCTGTTAAAAAGTTTGTTTTGTTATTTTATGCTTTATGCTGTTTAAAAAAAGTAAAAAATGCTAGCCAAATTGTTCGTAAATCATGGTCCACAAATCCTTCCTAGGTAAGGATTTACTGTATTTGTTTGAAATATATTATGTGTGCCTTAAGAATAGGCATTTTCTTAGACGAAAAAATATGTATTACATAAGCATTGTGTCGAACATCTAAGTATTTGATATACACATTTGTGCTGAATGAATAATGCTTACAATTTTTTAAAATTCACGATTATTTTTTTACGAGACGTATTCGGAAACTAAGTACCGTTTTGAAAAAAAATAGTAAAACAATTTTTTCGAATCCAATTTTTTTTTTTACATGAAAATACATGTCTTAAACTATTTTTCAACATAGTTTCCGCCAATGATCAAACACTTGTCATAGCAGGTGACCAGTTTTTGTATACCATCGTCAAAGAAACTTCCTGCCAGCTTCGATAACCACGACTCCACAGCATTTTTCGTGTCATCGTCAGATCCAAAGTGCTTGCCACCAAGCTCGCGCTCATCACCTGTCACAATTTGTTTTAAAAAGTTTTCTCCCTCATCACTGTACTGCGTGAGAAATGTCAGGGCACTACCAAGTCGCTTTGTTTTGTGAACATCAGTGAGCACTTTTGGAACCCATCAGGAACACAGTTTGCAATAATTCAAGCGGTCAGACACAATTTCGAACAAAACAGTACGTGACATTTGTGGAAATGCCTCTGAAAGGGTTGTCATTGTGAAGCATCTGTTCTTATGAATTGCTTCATCAACTTTCCTTACCAAAATCATCGGTGACAACAGAAAGGCTGACCACTCCGAGCCTCGGCGTGGACATTTGTTCGACCTGCATTAAACATTCTTAACCCACTTTCTCACCATTCCATCACTTTACGTGTATTCACCGTAAACTTCTGGTCACTTGACGATAATTTTTTGGCCGGTTTAACATTCCCTTGCGTTCAAAAATTTAATCAACGCACGAATCTCCGGTCATGGGAGAACTCATTGTCTTTACATTTGAATGTGCACAGCAAACTGAAAACAAAATAGCAACCAAAATGGCAGCAATTGAAAGTCAGTGAACAAGAAAGACTAGTGCACATGCGCGGGATGCCTACCACAGCGCTGCGACGGCGCTAGAATGAAACGGTACTTAGTTTCCGAATACGCTACGTAAATCATTTAAAAAAATACACTTGTGTTTGCAAACTGCATGCAGTAATTTATGAAGCAGACAGGATTTTAAAAATAATTTTTGTAGGATTATTATTATTTCAAAAGTATTACCGTATTTGACGGCATATAAGATGCACTTTTTTTCCTAAATTTGGTCACAAAAAAGTTACCTGCGTCTTATACGTGAAGGTAATTGCATTCAATAATTGTTTATTTGGCTTTTACAAAACATGAGAACTAAAAGAAACCATGCTATTGAAACTTTTTTTCCTTGTGTGTGGTCGTCTAAATAAGGGTGTGTCTTATATGCTGTCAAATACGGTAATTTCTATATCATCTTGGGAGAAAAATGTTTATCTAATAACATAAAAAAATTTCATAAATTTTTATTTGCAACTTTTATTTGATGTCATTTTTTTAATTTAATATTGCCATATGTTTAATGTACTTTATAGGCGATCAAGTTTACATAATGTTTCTGACATATTTGTGATGGGTGGATGCTTAATTCTCGAAACCCTTGCCTTGTTTCACTGGTGTGAAAGAGAAGGTTTTGGGCCTTTAGGAATATCTGGAATATCAATGGGTGGGCATGTAAGAAGAGAAAAAAAAATTTTTTTTTTCATATTTTAATGTTATCTGATTTGTTATTTTATTGTATGTTTTTTAGTTTTAAGATGATAAACTTGCCAAAATTTTCATAAGAAAATTTGGTGCTTACATATTAAAGCAACTACTTTGGCTCCACGATGTGATTTTTTTCAACACTATTTTGATATCATTAATCAAATGGTAGCATTAAGTGATTAGAAAATCATCCTTCACAATCTCAATGGGATTTAACTCATTTAATATAAATATAACTAGAAACATGCAAATACTTAATTTCACAGTATTTTAATTAGCAAAAAGTTTGTTCATAGTTGATTGTCTACAACTATTACACAAAAGTTCATTTATGAAGTGTTCACATTCATAATGTTTCTGGAAATTATTTGACAGATATAACTTTAGCAGCAAACTTTGTTATTAACAGCTTTATTTTCACTATGCATGTATCTATAAACAATATTTTCTCTTTCTTACCATTGGCTAAACCAACCAATTGTTTACTACAAAATCATCTTTATCTATTTTTATGGTTAATTTTTCAGCTTTGTGCTGCATTAGAGGGCCATTGACTGCCACATCCTTTTCATGAATGTTTTTAAACCACATCATTAGCGCTTCCTCAGCACTGTGATATTATTTGCAAATCAAATCAAAATATGATATGCATCTGTATCAATTTTTATTTCAGTTTTGGTTTGATTTGCAAATAATATGTTCACAATCCTTCAGAATCTTGCATAAGAGTGAATGAGAAATATTTAACTTAAAAACTTCTTTCTGTTGACACGTTTTTCAGATTCACTCGTAGCAATTTAACATGTCAATTTTATTCCTCAAATGATTGCACATTTTGTTAGATTCAGTGATAAAAATGACTAAACAGAATAAAAAAGGTGAGCATTTCCTAAAACAGAACATTTATAAAAATATAAAGCTCAAAGCAAATGAAGAGTTCTTGTGGCACAAAAAGCAATGTCGTTAGGAATTTTGCTTTGTTAAACTTGTTATTCTAGTTGATCTTCCTTAAACTTGGAGGAAAAAAAATTTTCCTTAATATGTGCTTGTCTTAAATCAAAATCAAGCTGCTTGGTGACATGTTTCTATCATTTGGCGATTTCTGTACTCTTAGACATTTTTTGATGATGTCATCTTTTATTTGGCAACTTTGCTTCAGTTTAAAAAATGCATTCTGTAACATTTTGATAATATTAACCACTTTATTGATCACAATAAGTGATGTATTTTCCATGTTTTCGCATAGGCGCGACTTCGGCAGTTCAATAACACTATCTGAATGCTAGCATTAACCGCTGTCACACTAAGTGATGCCTAGTATACATACATACCGGAATATTTTGCATTTCAGTTAAGTATTTATCCCCAAAATGAATCAGAAAACAGATATAAAAGTGGGTTTTTGTTTCTTTTGTTGTGGTGGAAATTTTGCAGTACTCACTCTAAGAACAGATAAAAAGCAATTTTTCTCTTTAATTACTTTTGTTAAAATACAACATTCCTGCATAAATTGTACTGCAATATCTTCAACTGTGAGAAAATCCCACAAGGTCATGTTTTAAATTTGAATTCAAAATAAAAAAATATGTTGTATCTACACCATGGGAATATATATATTATATATATGTGGAAATGAAACTTTGCTTGCTAAAAACTCAACACTTGTTATGCACTGGTTGCCAAAGTTTGGCACATTCTGAAAATTTGACAACTTGTCAGGGGTTGTACTAATACGCAAGTGCTGAAAAATTTTCTGATATTTTGATTTAGTCTGCTTTATAATTTTGAATTTTAAGAGCGAAAATGAGAGAATGAGTTTTAAAAGTAAATTTGCCATATCTTTCACAAGAGCAAATTTTGTTGTATTTTGATATTGTCTGATTAATTATTTTAGTAACTTTTTTTTGTGAGGTGGGGGGAATTTAAAGGTGCTAAATTTCTCGTACTTTTCACAAATTAAGAGAGTGGAAAAAACATTTTTTTTTTTTTTGGTAAAATTACAAAATATTTGGCAAATGATGCCTGTTTAAATCGAAGTCATATTGATTATCGATGAACTTTGTGGCTTTCACACAAAAATTTTTTGGTTAATTAAATATCACTCCCCCCCATGTAAAAATTAACAAATTTCACATTCTGTGCAATTTCTTAAACTTAGTGCAAAATTTTCATATACAACATTAGAAAACCACACACATCAAAGAAAATTAATTCAAAATTTGAAAATAACACAGTTTTTATATAAATAATTGTGCTTTACTTTTTTATTAAAATTTAAATATACAAATTAATGTTTTAAAAAATACTGTGCCCATAATAAAGGTAGAAAGTATATGGGGGGAGAGTGAAAAACTAAAATGTTTAAAAATGTGAGCAAGTCAAATGTAACATTATGAAATAGCTTTCAGAAAACAGGAGATGAGACTTATGTGAACATTTTATGGGGAAAATATTGTTATACCTTTTAAATCAATAGTTATATTTTTGATATCAAAAGTACAAATTGAATAAAATAATTACAATTGAATGTGAATAGAAAAAAATTATCTGTATTAAATTCAGTATCCTATGCAAGAAATTGTTAATATAGTCTGCTTTTCAGCATGGTCTCATAAAATTTCTTTTACTTTATTGTATAAATAAAATTATACAGTTGAACCTCTGTTAATGGGCCCTCTGACTAGCAAGGCTATATATACAAGCTAGAATATTTTTTGTGACATCGTTAAGAAATTATATATATATGCATCTTGAAATATGTTCAAGAAATTAAGGCAATATATTAAAAGTACATAAATCCGAGTGTAAAATACCAGGGACAGTATGGCGTTATCAAAAAAATACTTCTCATGGTGGTCACCCCCCCCCGCAAATCTGGGCTTTCTTAGGCAGCCATATGTTGGTCAGAGTCTTAAACAACACTTCTTGAATTCGCAGATCCTCAAACTAAGGAATCAGTGCAGTTTTATTTGGCAGACACTTTTTGATGATCTGTCTGATAACACACAAAAGCCTTGGTCCTGTGAGTGTCCTCTAAGAGGAGGTTTGACTGTACTTTTATTTTTAATATATATGAATGTTTAGATTTAACCATTTATTAAGTATGTATTTTTCTTAATTGTAGATGGCTTCCCTTGCTGGTTGTAGTTGGCATAAGCCTATACCAATTATACCTTGCCTTTCTTGGACCACAGCTTCCTGTGTTTTTACAGAGGTTGGTAACTTCTAGATAAATGGTAATAAACTAATGTAATAAGTGACTGAGTGAGTCATGCCAACTGATTTTTAACACCTGAAATACATCTCAGAATTATTTTTATTACTTTCATATTAATATTTAATTTATTGTTTAAATTTTTTGCACTCATTTATTGATAGTAGCAAGTGCATTATTCACTCTACTTAGGATCTTGATAAATGTGTGTAAGCACTTTATTATAGTGGTATTTTCATGAAAATAGTTTTTATTTATAAAAACTTAATTGTAATTATATTGAAAAGAAATATATATTTTAAGCCTAAAGCAGAGTTTTCCAGTGTAGGCAATATCACCCACAAGTAGGCATTAAGGATACCTTAAGGAATATTAATGATCCACTGAGCAGCAAGTTGGCAATAAGAATATGCTTGGAAACTTTGCTAACACACTTTTTAAACAAATCTTTAAATATTCATTTGATTATTCAATATTGCAGTCAGGCATCTTTACAATAATCATACCAAACCAAGTTAGTTGACCTTCACACAAGTTGGTCAAGTTGCATGTAGATTCATATTTATGTTCCGAGGGGATGAGACTTGGTAATTGACTGAGAGTAAATAATGACAACCTATTATTTTTCTTTTATTTATTAAATTCTTTGACATATACAGAAAAAATACACTTATTTGTATGTAAATAATTATAAATGTATTTATTTAATATTATAACTTTTAATTTTAAGGCTGATATTGTTTTGATTTTAATAAAATTTGTAACCATAGAGAAAAATTACTAGAAACTATTTTTATTCAAATTGTAGATTCTCATCGATCAGCCCTGTTCTTCCCCCCCCCCCCAACAATTTCCAACCAAGGTGATTTTTTTTATTTCAAAAATTTGAACTCGGGATATTTGTAGTTTGAAAAGTATGAAAAAAGGTTAGTTAAATCTGTAACTCTTACCAGTTAAATCGTAACCTGTATACAAGTTCTTAAATTAATGTCAAATAATGCTAATTAATTTGTGAAAATGTATATACCAGCCATGAAAAACTGCATGCAGCCCACTTGTTTGAGACCACTGATTTATAGGGTCATCAGGCTGCAGTCATGGGGAATCCTGCATTCCGCTGCCAAAATAGGTGGATCCATCACTTCATAAATGTTTAATTGGGTGTCATAATAGGATTCTATGCATCTTTTTATCAGATTCATCACCATAAATGCATTAAGAAGTTTTTAAATAGTTACTATTCTGTCTCTGTGTTGTAAGAAACTGTCAATTTGATGTAATGCAAATACAATAAATGCCTACAATTTTATATGAGTTTGTTTATAGTTTGCATGCAAAAGGCATCTAATATGTGATTGTTGCTAAAGTGGAGGGAATTATACTTTAAACTAATACTAAATTATAAAGTAATTTTACTTTTTTAAAACCTCTCCTATTATTAAATTCCAGTAATTTGACGATTTTGCTTTATTCTGTATTCTCCCACATTACACATTATCACATATATATAAAATTGTATATTAGGAAAATACATTCTTGTCAAATTTCATCCTTATTTCTCAGGGTCATCTTTAATTGGTATAATATGTAAAACAAGACTGTTCTGTGTGAAAAATTTTCACAATTAAAGAAGACTATTAAATTATATTTTTCTACGAAAACACATAAAAAATAATCTGTCTTGTAAAAATATATGCTTTATTTTAATTTCATTGTTCTAAATGTGCACAATTGCATCACTCTACTTGCAGGTTATAACTAAATATAATTTATCTCTCTATTAATACTTCTAATAACAGCTAACTGTGATAATTTATAATAAGCCATTTTTCATAGCAATTATAGTATATTATAATAATTAAAATGGTAAGAAATAATACTTTAGCTATTAACTTAATGTAATATTTAAGTTTACATAAAAGAGTGATATTGGCTATGTTTTTAATGACAGAATGATTTTAAAGCTCTTTTAATTAATATCAGATTAAGAAACAAAATGCTTTGTATTGCAAACAAAGTGGTGATTTCTATTATGTATTGTATGTCTACAAAGTTTTAAAACGATTTTCATAATCTAATCGAATAAAATATAGCACATGCTTATATCAAAAATATAAATGAGTATTTATGTATATCTCTGTAAAAAGCATGCTTTTGCCTTTAAGAAAATATGGAAATATTCATTAAATTATGTACAAATGTATTTAGAATGAAAATTAGAAATTATTCATTCATAAACTCATGTGAATAGTTATTAAATATATAATGATTATAAATATATATCTAAATTTATGATTATAAATATTATCAAAATGTATAATGACCTTAACATTTAATTGTAAACATAAATTGAAATCCTGTTGACAAACATGTTTGTAAAAACTATTTAAGCAAGAATTGTTCATACTGGAAAACAATCTATTAAAAGATATTATAAAGCAGTCTATGAGATGTGTACTTAATCAAGTAGTAAAGTATAATTTTTAGAATGTGTGTTATTGAAATAAAGGATCAGAAGAATTTTGATAAGTATTAAAAGAATTATTTCAGTACATTTTATAATGATTCAGTTAGAAATTTTAAATAATATTAATTAACCTCCTTTAGTTATTCCTTTCAGATATACTTGTAGAAAGTTAAGTACATGGAAATCAGAAATTAGCAGAATTGTTTAATGCATTTAGTTATTAAAATAAAAGGTGCAGCAATTTAAAATGAACCAAATAGAGCATTAATTGTAGAGCAACTATGAATTTTGATTTAAAAGATACCTCAGAGGCTGAAAATCATCTCATATTGGGAAAGTATTTCAGAAGTGCTGTAAATAGAAAAGAAATAATACACGATTTTAATAATATAATAAATAAACTTTGATTTTAATTTTTTAATTGTAGCACAAATAAAATTGAATTACTTTAAAACTTTTTTTTTTTTTAATGTAATTAGTGAAAACATTTCACTCAGATTAAAACTATTCTGAGCATGGAAACAGTGTAGCACATGATTCCTTTCAGAACGAAATGTCATTTAAAAATGTATTCTTTCACATACTTAGAATTCTGAAATATTGTAGAAAAAGAAAATATATATATTTATGATATAATCACGAAATGTTTACATCAGAACATGTCAAAACCTTTATTTATTTATTTACCATCTTAATGGCAAGTCACTGAATGTTTTGTTAAGCAAGAAGGTTTGAAGGGTTCACGGTTTGAAGGGAGTTCAAGCGAAAAACCAAGTTTGGGCCTCTCTTCTTTACTACCTCCATGATGTCACCCTGTGATTAAATGTGATGTCACCCTATGATTAAATGTGATGTCACCTTGTGATTAAAGCAAACAGAAATGTTACATCTGGCTAGATAGTTGTGAATCTTGCCAACACCATCAGTACTCATGTACTTTGAGAATCATTTCTCAACCATTAAATAGTGTTAGTTTATGTGTATGGAAGCCTGTTGCATGCATTCCACTATGAATACATCATTGCTGGGAAAGCTTACATTGACATAAGGAGCATATTGGTTGGGGTCAGCAACTATGTTTCAACATCGTGTTCTCGCTTCATCGGCAACAATGATCCTGGATGCCAGTTAATGCCAGGAGAGAGGGGGAAGCTTATCATCATACTGTTCAGGAACTGATCTTTATAGCCAAAGGGTAAATGAATGGGAAGGCAGAATTCTTCACATCTTTAATAGAGGTACATTGACATCACAGTGATATTGCACCAAAATTTTCCTGGCTCATGTCTGTTGTTTCCATGGTGCAGTTAGTCGAGACTTCTGTTTGTTGATGACAGTGCTTGTCCGTGTATGACAGAAGTATCCTATTAGAAGATATTGAACGTATGGCATTGCTTGTATATTTCCCGTACCCATAAAGTATTCTTGGGATGCATCGGGCAGATGTGTTGCTCGATAAACAGAACCATCCATGAATCATATAGAAACTAAAAATCTCCCTGATAGATGAATGGGGAAAATGCCCCAAGCTGTCCTTAGTGGACAGCATGTATAACAGATGCAAGATATGCATCGGTGTTCAAGGAGGTTGCACTCATTTCTGTCCCTATTTTGAGCGGAGCAAGCATTTAGTAGTGTTGGGTTTGAATCCTAGAGAAGACACATGTATTTCTAAATGTATGTTTTTGTGACATAGGACACTTAAAATACCATTCCAAATATCAAGCCGAAAGTTCCTTAAGGAGGATAGTAGTAGGGAAAAAAGGCAGAGGATACCCTTAGACCCATACCCTTAGGTGTTTTCCATCAATATTGGAGTATCTGGGCAAACTCATATTGTCATCTGTAATAGCAGATAATGATCTGTAAGGTGATTAATCACAAAGTGCAAGCTTCTCTTACTTGGTCATATTTTAATTTATTGACTTGTTACAGATCAAGATGATTAAGAACAACAAAAACTCATTAAATTTAATATTACTTTCTATTCTCTAAAATGAAATATCATTGTGAAAGATATGTTTTATGAGTTTTTCAAAAATAAAAATAATAATTAAAAAAAACTATACTAGGGAATTAAAAGAGTATTCCAACAGCTAATTTAACAAAAGCATCCTGAAGTTGTATAAACAAGCCGAAGAGATATGGGATATTATGATATTAGGAGACATGTATATAAAATAGCTACACAGTGATAAGGTTGCTTTCTTCAAATCATGGTATTTTATGAATTAGCCCTAAAATTGTAGGTGCAATATATATCTTAAATAATCACTTTTTCTTTAATTATCTCATTAGAAAGGGATGCATTTTCTCATGTAGCACTGAAATTTATTTCAAGTGTTATAAAACCATAACTCTAAAAACTTCTTTGCTGGTAAATTTATTTCTGTTAGTATTTTTCATTAACAGACATTAATTTTCCATCATCAGTTAGAAGTCAGATAGTGGTTTAAGGCACATAACAAATTAAACTGAGATTTATTGAGTTTATGTATTCTCATTCATGTGTATTCTCTATTTTCCTTAACTGAATACTACATATATAGCTTTAACGTCACTTAAATATAATTAATTATTATGTGACAATAATTAACTACAGTGCAAGATATTTAGTCTTCAGATTTTAATCTGAAATGTTGAGTTAAAAAATGCTTTTAAATATGAGAATATTAAAATAATATATTTTTACATTACATGTTTTATGACACTCCCCCTTTTTTTAATATTATATTGAACAATGCTTCAAAGAGAAAAATAAAAATTGTTAAATTTTCAGGGTGTTATGAGTGCTGGTATTCCATGGCCATTGCTACAAAATCAGTACTCTTCAGACCATGTATATCAAGATGAAATATGGAAAATGCTGCACTCACCAGAAGAGGTAATTTATTATCCAGTTATGAATATTTTAATAAGTGTTGCATACTGAGATAGAAAAATGTAATCAGCATGATTCTGAGACCATAAATGTGCTAAATTATCATTTTCAGAAAAGTGCATTTAAAGGTTTAAGTATAAGACAAAGTTACTTTTTTGTCTGACTCATCAAAAATCTCGCATGATATAACTACTTTGGGTTTATTAAAGGAACTAATTATATACAAATGTAATTCATTTGTATGCAGGAGAATCATAATTCAAATACAACAGATCACCATTACATTTGTTCGTGTTCTCCCCTAGCTCTGTCTCTAATGCTTCTTTAGTTGCACTCTCTAATAGCAGCTCTCTTACAATGCCATCTGTCAGTGTCTTTATTCACAGTTACTACATAATCAAATCAATATCAGACTGAGAGATTAGATACGTCAATAACTATCACGTATATAAATCTAACATCCGTTCAATTGCATTGATCATTTTCAAAATCTGTTCTTCCTAAACTCCTGGAATGCCTGTGTTTACAAATTTTTGTTCAAAAGCAATGCCTTCTTCACTAAGTAGTAAACTGCCTGGAAGTTAGCATTAATTCACTTAACTGAAGTGGTTAAATTAGGTCCTTTGTTGTGTATTATCACTTTGAGCTAAGATCACTTTAAGACCACAGTGCAGAACAGCAGCAATGAAGCCCTGATGCTGGGAAGATCCATTTTATACTCAGATATATCAGGTACGAACAAAGGAACTAGTTATTAGTTGACAAAAACTGACAATTTATTTATCGAGTGTGTCGTGCATTGATGTGATCAGGAGGAGCATTAAGTTAGGCAGTCAAACTATTATCTGATGTCCAGATGCAAGGGTATTTTGGGTGCTTCTAACACAAGAGCAAATGCCATTTATAAAGTTCTGTATCTTATTGTACTGTGCTTTTTATTTACTGCATTAGCTGTCTTTTTATTTATCTGTATATATGCATAAACCTGATACACAACAACTGGATGTTAAACTTCATAAAAACGCATGTACATTATCTTTATCTGTATTAAATTATTTATCTTTAGCTGTTATCTCTAAAACATGTTACATACTCATCATGTAAAACATCTAATTGATCTTACCCACTGTCCCATAAAATGGGTTGACTTAATGAAGATTACTAAAATTATAAACTATCATATGGTATTGATTTTCAAAATAATTGACAACCAGCTACAAGATAACTGACAACCTTTCAAAATAACTGACAACCAGCTACAAGATAACTGACAACCAGCTACATGCTATAAAATCACATTGCATCTTACAATCTTGCACATCATGCCAGATCGCCATCATAGTAAAATGTAGTAATATTATAAATTTACATATGATACTAGCTTTTACAGTTACATGACAGCCAAATGCATTTTTCTTTATATTTTCAATAAGGAAAGTTTTTCTTTTTCCCGTTTAGTGCAAGAACATTGTAGATAAGTCCACATAACTATTTTGTGAGTTATATATTTTTAAAATTGTTTTTCTTTTCCTTTTTGCAGTCAGATGCCTTTAAAGCTGGTATCCTTTTCTCTCGGAATTATCCTTCAAGCTTAGAAAGAATGGAACTGTTAAAACAAGAGGAAAATAGCAATGACAGAAATCCACACTTAAATGAAAATTCCATTTTGTATAGTAAATCCAAGTCACATCAGTTGTTAAGCCCATCTGAACTTTCTAAGTTGGAAGCATTGAATTTCATGAGAGGTATCATGGATGAATGCACTCATTTAGGTAATTTTACTCCACCTGTGGATCCTAGTCTTTCAATTGTAGTGACAGCTGAGCATGATGCTTATGTTCCAAGAGATGGCATTAAGTCCATAGGAGATCTGTGGAAAGGTTGTGAAGTTCGTTACATTGATGCAGGACATATTACGGCCTTTCTTTTTAATCATGGAGTGTTCAGGTAAATATCAATATTATTTTGTAACTTGATATATACTCGATTCTTATAGTGCCTAATGTGATATTCCATCCTTGTTTGAGGAATGTTTTTTAAAAAGAAAATCAAAAATTTAAATCATTGACTAAATACTTTTTTTGCTATCTAGATGTAAAAGAATCAAGCATAATATTTAATCATCATAGAAAATGAGCTATGTTTTTAAAAGTACATTGATGATTTGGAATTATTAATTTCATTTGGGAGAAAAATTAAAATGAATAGTTAATAGAGAAGTGCTTAGGAAAACAAAAATTGATATTTGTGCCAACTATCTGTTGATGCTTTTTTGGTAATTAATTAAATTTTGAACATCCATTCAATTAAACAAATTTTTATGAATTTATTTTCAGCAGGCAGCATTCAAAATTATATGAAACAAACTAGATATTTATTATCCCACTGATTGAAAGTTGGCTACCATCAAAGTATGAAAATTGGCTTGCTAAAATTAAACCAATCTTTCCTGCACAATTCTAAATCTTCTTTATTTGCTAAACAACCACGAATCACTCATTATTTACTTCTATAATCTGCAATCTAAAATTCAGGATATTAAAAAAAACTGTATGAATATTAGTTTCAAGTTTTTAGATTAACTGACACAATTAAAAACCTATTACCCAAAGCTCTGTTTAATATTATGATTACAAATTTACCACATTTTTATTATGTTCGAATCTACTACTTTTTGTTAGTCCAGCTGTTCTTTTCCCTGTTCAACTGATTTGAATTCTCTTGACCAGCTGTAAATGAACCAGAGTGCAGTTAAAATTGTGATTCAACAGCCGTCAGTCATGCTCTTTTCAGAATGGACATTCTCTTGTCATAATTTTTCATGGTGCATTGCCATTGTTTATACCTTTTCAAATAATGTACTGTATCATGTCATTACTACATATATGTTTTGATGGTAGGTTTCGATAACTTTGAAAATAATCTGTTGCTTGCTTTTCTGTAAAATGCTGGTTCCAAATTTTAATTTTTTTCCCCTTTGGAAATACAAGGGCAAAATACGGCAGCAACGGTTAATTTATATCCTTATTCATAAAAAAAGTGGCTGATCGAGAATCATTTGGAGACACATCATACAAAGTTCAGATGTTATAAGTATGTTTAGACATCACACATATCCATATGGAGACAATTTCATGGTCAAAAGGACAATACGCAAGAAATGCAAATTATTATTCTTCACGGACTCTGTCTCCTTATGAATATAGCTAAATAAGAACATGAGTAACCTCCCTTGAATCGGTTTCCAGTCCTTGTTATAACAGTCTGTCAGCAGTTGCTAACATCACATTTCTGCCGTACATCTACAATTCCACTGTGTGAGAACTGAAACATAATTGTAAGTTTTTGGGAAAATAACGTGTGTCTGGCAGTAATGGAGTACTTTTGCTTTATTCTTAGGTAAATCTAAAAAACTCATAACATAAAATGCAGTAAAAATTAATGAAATGAACAAATAATCTTCAACAACTTTTCACAGAAAATGAGGTGTTACCAAAAAATGATAAATTGCAAATAGATGTTACTTGAATTGGTCTAAAGCTGACATTCAGCTAAAATATTCACCTCGTCTGCTTTTTTGAATTTCGATGACTTCTGGCAAACAAATGGTCATGTACCATTTGGAATGACTGTCCTGCGTTGCTGTGACCAGTAATGCCGAAGAAACAGGCAACCATTTGCTTTGATGTGCTTGTTTTGCAAACAACTTTTGTTGGATTTGGCTCATCTTGGAAGACCCATACAGTCGACTGCTGTTTTGTTTCAGGCTCATATGCATACATGTTATATGTTATATGTCACCCACATAATGTTATACTCAGAATTTGATGTACATTGAACGTTTTCTTCCAATATTTCCCTGCACCAATTGACACTAGCCTTCTTTTCTTCTTCTGAGTGTTTGTCATATTATGCTGGATCCAACATGAACAAATCTTTTCTATGGCCAAGTGTTTGTGTAATATATTATTGATGCTTGTCATATTAATGCTCAAAGATGCCTCAGTCTCATGTTATGTCACATGATTTTGCTTTATCAGTTCACGCACAGCATTGATATTTTCCGGCACAACAACCGGTTTTGGACGACCTTCACAGAATTCGTCCTGGAGTGAAGGTCAACTACTGTTTAATTCATTATACCAGTTTTTTACAGTGCTGTAGGATGGCGCTTTATCGCTTTAAAGAATTAAGTTTATTGAAGCACTCTTGTCTTGATAATCCATGCCAAAAGTTATGAAAAATAATCGCACAAAAATGTTCACGAGTCAATTCCATTTTTTGCCCGAGATGAATTTTTCAATTTATTGTAAACACAAATCGTGCTAAAACGGCAAAATGTTCTGAAGAAGTTGTGAATAAAAATATCAAACTTTCAACTAAAATTTTTTGTGTTACCTAGCACACTTACTGTTGCCACATAACAGAATATCGACAAAGGATATACCTTATGAGGTGCACTTTAATTTTTTAAACATTTAATAAAAATAATTGACAAATGTTATATATATTGAGAAAAACTGTCATATTCATTGGAGAGCAGGTGGGAAGTGATTTACACAAATCATGCAATGAACATGAAATTGGTAAACTTTTAAGATACTAATTTTACACCAGAATAACACACATAATGCTAATTAACCACTGTTTCATTGGCAAACTTAAAAAAAAATTAATATTAATGAAATTATTTAAAATATAATGGCAAATATACTATTTACTTTTATCATATTTTGTAAGATTATTTCATGTGAACCAACATTAAAAATAAGCACTAAAAATACAAAATGTTATATAAATTTCCTCAATGAAAAAGTTACATTCAAATTAAATATTTCTATGAATTTATATATATATATTTAACAAACATTCTTTATTCGTTAAAAGCAAATTTAAAGAAAATTATATATCTATATATATTTATTTAAGCATACAAGACCTTACTGATAGCACATAGTAACATTTTACTAAGTATTATGTATAGTTTTTATTTTGTGAGGCTTCTCCTTGGGACTATGGAACTGCAAAAGACAAATCAGTATGGTGTAGAGGTATGTGGGACATTTTTGCCATATTTTATCTGTGAGGTACATAGGGCTTTGCTTTCTTCATTCCCACTGGACTGATCATTTTGAAAAGGGACACGTTTTATTAACAATTATTGTCAACCTGTTTATGATTGCTGTATTGAAATCCTCCGTATTTCTGAATTCACCATTGCCATAGAATACATGAATTTACAACACTTAATCTCCAAAATGGAAAGTCTTATGTCACTGTTTCTTTTTCCTTTCTTACACACTTTTCAGATGATCAAATAATTCATGAAACTTTTGTTGTGTTGCACTACAGCATATAGGCAGTAAGTTTTTAAAATGAATCTAGCCTTTTCTTTCCACCACTCCAGGGATCAAGTAGCATTGCCAAAGAATTAACAGGATTCTTTTCTGAACCCTTTTCATAGATTTCAGATAAACAATGCGACTTTGATTTACTTCCCAATCAAAATATCGCTGTTTTTATCTGATAGTTTGACTCAGGTTTGAAAGGCAAATGGGCTGGCTCCATGATTGGCCTTCCCCTTTTATAAAATGAATATGAGCCCGTTTTCTTCAGAATGTCTTCTTACAAAAGTATCTTTCCTCATAGGCAGATAGCCTTCAAGTGCTTTGCTATATTCACATAATCTAACCCAGTTAAAATCATTTCACACAAAACCAGTTTCATCACAACTCATCCACCACATTTCACTAGCTTCATTGGCAAATATTACTGTGCAGAACTGTATGCCTTTAAGTTTAATATTGATTCATCAGTGGCTACATTTTTTTCGTGCACTAATAGTGTTCACACTTCATACATTTTGTCAGATACAGTCTTATTATCATTTATGTGCAAATGAGCAATAATACAAGGAAATCCTTTTACAATATTTGCTGTAAAATATGAGTCATGAAGCTCTTTTAATATTGATCAATAGTATCTGTAATTTGGTGATTCCTTCATACCCAGTAAGAAATCAATTTCATACATTCACTTTGCATATATATTTGAAATAATAAATGTTCAATGAGTGGCACTTTAAATGTTTTAAAAAATATTTTGTAGATTTTTTTCCTGTAAATCCACAAGTTCTGTAAAAGGTTGATGTGAGATGAGTTTAGGATTAATGAAGAAGGTAGTGGCATTTTAAAGATATTTAATAATGAACAAATGAACATGATTATGAAATAAAGTGAAAGGAAGTATGATGACGACATAATAACATCAGGATCCATTCTCCATGCTGCCGTCACAGCATTTCAATGAATTCCAAAAATCAGATTTTTTTGTAAGTTTCCCTCTTCATCTTGAATTTGTCTAGCCACATTTTTTTTTTTTTTTTTTTTTTTTTTTTTTTTTTTTTTTCCAGTCTGCACCAAGAATAATTCACTTGGTGATCTTCTTAAGCTTGGACACACCTAAAAATTTCCTTCTGTACGCACAGAAAAATTGAATGAAAAAGGATTTATAGGTTTCTCTGAGCTTTCTTTATTTATAGTAGATGGCAGCTCAACACAAACCAGTCCATATATTTTAGCCATGTTTAGATTTTTAAGACCCTCATTTTTCAAAGAAATCTTCCAGATTTTTTTTAGGGTATAAAAGGAATTGTTTGAAAAGAAATTTCTATGTTACTTTTTTGGCTGTATGCTAATATCCTTATTCTATATTAGTTTTAAATTTTTACCTTGAAATCTTGCCTAAAATCAAATGGCGAACCCTAGATGTGCCCAGACCGGGCTCACCGATAATCTAGAACAACTGAGAGTCTGTATTCTTTATTTCTTCGCATCTCGTCGGTCAGTTCATTGACGACAATGCTCGTTTCAGCATTCTTTTCGAAGCTCTTTCAATCAGTGTGCCACTTTGGGCACACCCACAGAATTAAAATGAAAAGTGCTAGCTTACTTTTTTACTTGTGTATTCCTCTAGGCCTGATTAGACTGCCTATCATTTTTTTTTTTTTTTTAATCAAAACTCCAACTTTAAAAGGTAGCGTGACGGAAAGGGTTAATTTACAGCACCCTATTTTTTGCATCGTGAATGAGAGGAAAAAGTCACATCATTCCTACTTTCAAATAATTTAACAAAGTTCCTAAAGCACATTTGATGTTATTATCGCTTTAAAAAAATATACCAAATTTCAAAATGTGCCAATATATAAATCGCATATATCTTTTGAAATTTTTAATAAAAAACTCTAATCTTTTTCATGTATGCTTAGAAATACATCTACTTTAAGATAATGTTAAAAATTTTATAAGTTATAATATAAAAAATTTTTTTGAAAAAATATTTAAATATACGAATTTTTAAAATAAATCATAAAAAATGTGCTAATTATATTTGGATTAAGCCTCTATTTTTTTATAATTCTGGAAGAAGGAATCAGGTAAGTTTAATAAAAAAGATATTAATAAATATATATCAAATTTAATTAACATTGGGGAGCTAATTTTTTAAAAACTTGAGTGATTTTTTACAAGACTTGGTAGTTCGGTATGATTTGAGTTGTAGAATCAAAATATGGAAAAAAACGGTATGTCATTTCATGAAAAGTCTGATTTTGTGTCAAAATACCTATATTAGAACAATGCTATATATAAATCTAATACATATCCTAAGTTGCGCTTTCGAGACATGAAAAATGCAAGTTGAATTTCGTCAATTGGCCCAGTAAAACAGGAGATATAGAACTGCCCCCCTTTTTTTGTGCAGTGTACCTATCTAGTTATGGCTTTTGAATATTTCTAAATTTTGACATGTGGCATTTGCATTAATGAAGTTTAGCCACAGCTGATCTGGTATCTTAATTAGCATTCACTTACAAATAAGGTATAACGAAATTGTAATAATTTTATAACTTGTAAATTTTATTACAGGAAAGCAATAATTGATGCTTTTGAAAAAACAGTTCAGAAATACCACAGAAGCAGCATCCTTCTAGAAGACTCAAAAATTGAGCAAGATGCAAATTCTTGACAATAATCTTGTTCATCACTCATTTATTTTAGGAAACCGCCTTTAATTTTTTTTTTTTTTTTAAATCATAGTCATGTATATAAATTATGTTGATCTTCCAGCAATGGAAAAGTTAATTAAAACATTCAGATAGTGATGGCAGTCATATTTTATATATGAAAGTGGAATTAGAGCTGACATATGAATTGAATTTGTTATATCCGATGTTTTTATTGCAATATGTTTTAAATAAAATGATTTATACACAAATTTGTCATTTCGTTTTCGTATATTTTGACTCTTTTATTAACCATCCCCCTTTTTTAAAATTATTTACTATTTTTCATTATCACTAAGTGTGCAATGATTTACTGGTAAAACGTAGGAATGTAACTTGCAATCTTCAAATAAGAACATATATGAAATACAACAGCAAACTATTTTAACATTAAAATTCTCTAATAGTCTACTTTTATATATTTCAATTTAATTATCCATTATATTATTAATTTCAATTTAATTATCTCAGTATATAAAATTGTTAGTATTTATGCACAAGATGACTCTGTATTTTGTCTACTTTGTAAACATGTCCTTAAGATTATTCACAATCCCAGGTTAAATTGAGAAGCACAATTAAAGATATGAGGGTTGGAACTTTAATAGTGGCAACACAGCTGAAAAAAACGCTACGCAACAAAACCAAAGAATATCGCGTATACCACAAGTAAACTACATACCTACCTTACCTCTCAGCAAAAAGACTTGTCCTGCCTACATCATGCGCATGCGGAGTGACGCGAAGAACGAATCCTTGTATTAGCTCGTGGTCTAAAGTAAGTGTTGTCAGGATGTTTTCAAAACAAGAACAACTATGTTGGATAAAAATTGAATGTGCCAGAGGTCGTACAGCACGACAGTGTAATCAAGGGCTTCAAGAGGCTTGCGGGGAATCTGCATTGCCTTACAGAACCGTAGCAAGATGGGTGAAAGCATTCAATGAAGGACACCAAAACGTGGCAGACATGCTGCGGCCAGGTCGTCCGAGTGTCAGCGATGCAGACGTGCAAGCTGTTGCCACACTATTGGACAGTGATCGCCGCCAAACGATCCGTCAGCTGGCCGGACAAACAGGATTAGCGCATATGACTGTGCTGCACATTCTGAAGGAACGCCTGTCCATGAGAAAAATTGTTCCACATCAATTACGGAAATGCAGAAATGGCTATGATACGATGCTGCCCGAAAGTCTGCCTGCCGACTTTTTTACGCCGTATCATTACGCTGGATGAGACTTGGGTCCGATCGTACCAGCCAGAACTGAAACGCCAATCAAACGAATGGCGTCATCACGGGTCACCACGACGTTCGAAATTTCATCAGAACCCCAGCAATGTGAAAGTTATGGTGATTCTCGTGTACGACTGTGATGGTGTCATCCTAACGCATACCGTTCCCCCATAGCAGACCGTCACTGCGCAGTATTACTGCTCATTTTTGAAGCACAATCTCCAACCAGCTTTGAAAAAAAAAAAAACGGCCACACTTTCTGCAGAACACTCCTCTCATTTTGCATGACAATGCTCGGCCGCATGCAGCGCAAGCTGTGACTGATTTCTTTAAGCGATGGGGCTGGGAAGTGCTTTACCATCCACAATACTCCCCAGATCTAAGCCCTTGTGACTATGACTTAGTTCCCAAGATGAAGGAACCACTTCGTGACACTCGCTTCCAAACTGTTCCTGAGATTCTTGCGGCAGTAGACTGGTCCATTCAAACTATCAACAAAGCAGGTGCTGCTACAGGTATTCTGCGACTTCCACATCGTTGGAAACGGGTTGTACACAATGCTGGCGACTATATTGAAGGACTGTAAAACATGGTGACATGAATCACTTTTGTATTCCTTGTAAATAAATAGTTGCCACTATTAACCCTCGTACAATAATATATAGGTGACAATAATATGTAGGTGATGTAAACATAATTTCAAAAGCTTTAACTAACTCTTAGGAAATAGGGCTTAAAAATTAATACACATGAAACTTATGACAATTAGTGAAAATAGTCTGTCTCCATCCTTTTTTAGAAATTGTTTAGATTATATTTGAACTAGAAAGCCCAGCGATCATACGAAATGACCACTGTTCTAGATATTATAAATTATAATTAAAATGATTTGTGCAAAGGTGTCTGCTAATTTAAACTGAATTACCCAGGGCAAGCGGTGAGGATGCCCCTTTGCTTACTGCCCCATGGTGTTTCCCCCTTCTTCTTGCTTAATTGCTTAAAGTAAAGTGCAATGAAGGAAACTGGCGGTACATTTCTTAAGAGCCACCGCTAGCTCAATAAATAAAGGTGATTTAAATGATAAAATGTTAATTCACATGTCAAAGTTCCCTTTATACACAACATTTCTTTCCAACATTTTTAAGCTCGTCTTGCAGAGGACCATCAATTATTTTTAATTTTACATCCCATCTTTCATGAACTCTTGAACAGGCAACATAAAGTTGATGGTGTCCAAATGCATGCTCAGGTAAAAAAATGGTAACACACTTAAGTGTTTGGCCCCAAGACTTATTGATGGTCATAGCAAAGGCAAGTTCTGCAGAAAATTGTCTACGTCTCAATTGAAACGGCATCCCTGTGCCGTGGCAACTTCATCCCATTGGCTAGTACAGTTACGCAAGCAACCCATAAACTAGCGACGACAAACAGACACTTAAGCTGCATATATATATGGGGTGAAGTAAGATTATCTCCTCCAAAACGGCTGGCTCCCGGGCTTAGCGAAGCACACCGTTGGATTCCGCAGGTCTGTGGCACGCTATTTTGACCATTCGCGTCTTCTTGGGACTTTAATTAGCCGAGATATTAATTAAGAACTAATTTCCCCTACATTTTCCACTTTCTTTCTTGGGTTTTCCCTATTAGAGGGATCTGGCTACGTGCCAAATTCTTTTTTCTCGAATATCTACGGAACGGCGCCAAGTTGAAATTCGAGAGACGCGTATCCTTGGATTCCAAAAAATTATCTGAATCCATCGATACCGTTCTCATCTTCGTACGACTTTAATCGGCCGAGATATTAATTGTAAACTGCGGAAACGTTAATTTCCGTGCTCCTTTTTCCGAGTGGCAACAATAAACTATCGGCGACACACACTTTAACCGCTTATGTATATAAAGAAGAATGGATAGTTTTATTTATCTTAATTCTGAAATTAATTGCAATAATATTACTGAAATACAGAAAAGAATATAATACTTATGTGTTAACACAACTGCCTAAATAGAAGACACCAAATTTTTAGAATTCGGCATACTTTGGCAACTATGCATTTAACAAGCAATCGAGGTAGATGGGGCTGTCGGGAATCCAGAAAAGCTCCCATGATGCTGGTGGCCATAAGTCAGCTTGTCAACTGATGTTGGTAGTTCAAAAATCGCTTAAACATTAATCAAAATTTTGCAAGATTCATGCAACTAAAAGCAATAAACTAATTGGAAGAAAAATATTTTAAGACACCAAATAACAATAATACATTTTCATAATTGTGTTTGTCAATGTTTTCATTGTAAGATAGTCATTATGCTTGTTATTTTTCAGTTTTGTCTTGCTAATTGAGTCTGTAATTGATGTTTAAAGCATTATTAGCAAGAATTGCTAAGCTGTGGGCACCAGATGGTGTGTGTAAAAGAATAATTTTCTGAAATGTTTTCTTTAATAAATTGCTACAATAATTGTATTAAATAAAATACCACTCTCTTCAGAAGGCACGCCAAAAGGATGCTTTGTTTTGTGGGGACGAACAATTCATGCTACAAAGCCTAACTTTGGGAAAAAAATCTGCATAAATTAATTTGCGGTGAAATTATTCTAATTTTTGGCACATCATGAAAGGAACACTCATGTATTCATCATAATTAATTTTACAACTTTATATTTTCTTAAAAAATTGTATAAAATCAAATGATATATTCTACAATAAGATTTTTCACTTTCTTCAAATATATGTGGAAACAATATCCAAATAATCGGATCTGATTAACAAAAAGAGAAATTATTAAATATCTCTTTCATAAAAAAAACTAACATGAAAACAAGAAAAAAGAATATTTCTTATTATTTCCATCAAAATAATCAAGCCAAAGATTACTTTCATTTGCACCAATGTCAAATCTAAAAATTTCACTTATTTTTAAAGATGATGGGGTAATTCTAAAATGAATTTTTTGCAACCCCCCTTTTTTACTGTGTATTTTATAAGATCATCATAAAAAAAAAGATTTTTATAGTATTTCTAGTATTAATATTATTTGGTTCTACAAAATCAAAAGGTTTCAAATCTTGAAGTGTCCTAGTTAAAAATGTGGAAGGTATGCATGCTGTGATTTCTATATGTGATAATATATCCATAGTACAATCACTATAACTATTACTTTGCTCTTTAGAAATATCATTGTCATTAGTATCAGAAAAAAATGACTCTTTGATCATATGTATATATTCTTCTTCTGTTAAATACAGAATTTTGTTTTGCCATTTGAAGTTAAAAAAAAAAAAAATATTTCGCTAAATGATGCATTCATACACAAAACATCTGTCTCACCAGATGCAAGGCTATATCTAGTGGCAACAAAAATTATTTAAATGTTCTATCTAAAAATTCAAATGTGATATGCTTGTCCTCGGAATCAATTTAAATATGACACACTCCGGCTGTCAAATATTGCAGCTGATGCATATGTGACATATCCATAGTAATACAAGTAGCAACAATTGCTAAGCTGTGGGCACCAGATAGTGTCTGTAAAAGAATAATTTTCTGACATGTTTTCTTTAATAAATTGCTACAATAATTGTATTAAATAAAATACCACTCTCTTCGGAAGGCATGTCCTGCCACCCAGGAAATTTCATAACAATGCCATCACCTTTATGAAAAACAACAGCTACTCACTTAGCATCTTCACAAGTGTATTCTGGCACCTGGATGAAGGTTGCATTCTTCCTGGTACAGACTGAACTTCATAAGGGTTCGTGGGCAGCCCTTGTATTTTAATGAATAATTCAAGTATTATCCTTAACCTGCTCTGCCATAGGCACTACAGGTGGTTAATGAATAAATGGCCAACTTGCAGAAAAAGTGCAAATTGGTTGTACCCATCAGACAAACTCCATTCACCCTGCAAGCAATGACGCAATTATCATATATATACTTTTCATTGCATTCAAATTGCAGTGTATTTTATAGGCAGATTTA